CGTAGACCGGCCTCTCCTAGACAGTTCCTAATTGTTTGTGCGGACACTCTTCTCAAACCTGGCACCTGTGTTGCAGTGACGGTAAGTGTGGCTAGCCGATTACGTAGGTTACTCTTGGCCTACCACTTCTGGGGCATGAAACTGGGTGTATCGGCTCCAAAGTGGGGAAGTCGATGTTTTATGAACATTGAGGTGCCGGGCAACGTTTCCAACACAGCAAAAAAAGTGTAGGTTTCCGTCTTCCGGAAACCTTCCGGATACCTACCCATTTTGGATCCGGCCCGGATACCTTCCGGAAACCTTCCGGAAACCGTCCAAAAAAAATGTCAAAATTTGGGGGGTGCATTTTGTTCACTTAAGTGTGAAACACATAAAAAAATTAACTTGAAAATACCAAGCAATTTGAAGGTTGTTGAAGGCATCTGGAAGGTTTCCGGAAGGTTTCCGGAAGGTATCCGGATGCAAATTTTCTTCATGACTTGCTTCTGGTAAAAAATGTTAGCCTGTGCATTACAGGTAGCTGTTGTAATATTCTGGGTTACTTTAATGGTAAATATCCTCCTAAAACATTTTTGGAGAAGACAATTGTTCAATTTCATATATTGTCCTTTTCAGATGTTAATGGTATTTAATGAACAAACATCAGTTCTCGTTTAATGATATCCTTAAATTTCATGTCCAGACTTCCAGTTTGTACTGAGAAAAAGAAAAAGTCATTGACAATGTGCTCACATGGGCCTTTGGTTCTAGTGAGATGATAATAAGACTATTTGTAACGGCACATGTACTTGTTATATCCAAAATACTAACTTCATTGAAATTTGCCTCACCCTAGTTTTATGGTACTACAGTAAGCTCCTCCTCAGTTACTGTGAATTCTTTTATTAAAAGGGATTAAGAGTTAATTTGACACTGGAGTTGTAACCACTGCACATATATGTGTATTCAAATAATATAACAACTATGTGCTTAATACTTCACAAATATCTCCAGAAATAGGCATTTTAGTTATAATTGCAGAAATACTTAATGAATGACCCCTTCACTATTGCCTTGATCTTACACTTCAACCCTTCAAGAGTTATCACTTTTGAGTGTGAATTTGACCTTCAATATCAGTGATAAATATTTCAAAAACATTTCAAAGAGCTATCCAGCACATAAACCAAATATGCAGTCCTTTGGTAGAATTCAACATATCATTGACCAAAATATGGAAGTAATGTAACCAGAATATGTATAAGAGTTACTAAGACTTCTGCAGAAAAGGCAATTTAGGGGAAAATGTAGTATATATAGATCACACACGACCTTTTTCCAACTTCGACCCCTGTCCAAAGGAAGAGTTAGACCACAAACAAACTTTTTGTCTGGTTGTGACTTTGACCTTTGACATAACAGATCAATGTGTCATCAGACGTTTTCAGAGCAAAGGAAACGTGTTATTTATCTTGAGATGCCCAAGCAATGCATGGTTTCATAAGATAAGTGTGGCTATTAAACTGAGGCAAAATCATGAAACATCCCCATTTACACAGCTGGCAAATGAAACATAAGCAACAATCAAATTATCAATTTCTTTTATTCATATGCCTATAGTATATCGCACATTGAATAGTGTTCACATGATGGTTCCTGATGCAGTATGCAATTTCATCCTATTCTTCAATACTCATAACAGAGTGTGATAACTGTTCACTTGACAGTACCTACGGATTATGTTCACCAGTTCAGAGAACTTACTTTCCCTCAATCCTCCTTTTCTTTCTATATTGCCATGGATGAACAGGAACCAGGATGAGGGGATACCAGTTAGACTCTATCTCTGCTGCATTGTGTTAGTAGAATTGTGAACTTTCCATTTGGTGTTTGGGTCCACATTTAAAGACAATAAGTCCCATTTATCATTCCTTTCAAGTGTTTACCATATGGCTCAAGACAAGAATTTCCTGAAAGTCCTGGAAGAATTCCACTCCAGCTTGGCATTGGTTGGTCTTGTCACATTAGCCAGACCAGCCTTTGTGTGTCCCTGTACCATTTGGCATACAACTTCTCGGTCGGCCTCCATTGAAATAACAGGACCCTCGTCATCGCTGTCTGCAAATCACCTCTGATATCTGAAGGGGTGCAGTCTCTGTTTAGGACTCCCTTGTCTGGTCTTCCAGACTGTCAACCTGGAGTACTCATCCAGGGATCTCAAGCAGGACTTCAGTTTCTGCAGCATTATGTAAAAAGATTTTAGCAATCAAAAAGAATTGTTGCCACATGTACTTACAGATAGAAGGCAGCAAAATCACTTAAGTTGTCATATGTGAGTCTTGTTATATGCGTAACATTTAAGATAATCACATCTCAAATCTCAACCAGACAAACTAGTGACTAATGTTATGAACTCGGTCCAGACAAACTGATGATAACTATTATGGACAATATCCCACATCACTGTGGTATGATTACATGCGATCAATGAGCCCACTCAATCACTACCTTATCTATTAATTAGGCTTGGAATGCTGGGAATCTTTTTAAGAGATGTCATTTAGTGATTGTTTCAACTCATCAACATGGAAAAATATATATATACAATCCTTGTCATATAGCCAAACTATTGCTGGATGCAGTGTTAAATAAATGAGTTGGCTTTAACACTGCTTTGAACAGTATTCCAGATATATCAGCTCATGTTAGCTTGATGTGGGAAGAAAGCCCTAAGTGATGCAGGTCTTTGATGAATCCCACGAGCATGTGTATAATGCTGACAAACCTAGCAACATAATCGGGGAGAACCAGGATTTGAACCCATGACTATAGGCTTCTGCTAAGCCCAAGAGATGCAACTCTGCACAGAAAATTGTAGTGCCTTAGATAATAGGACATCTGTGCCCACAGCGATAATGAACAAACTGAAGACATATTTGCAAAATAACCATATGAACATGTGAACCAAACAGAATAATTTCAAAATATTTACCACTCACTGTTGCTCTTCTATTGTCTTTCTTTGCATTGATGCTGCACAGATGACTGTCTCTTTTATTCATCCGGACATTCTACAAACATAAGTAGCATTCACATCACAGAAAAATTTCCAAACTGTACATGTTGTACATTTGATTCAAATGAAAAGACCCCGGTTGTGATTCCGACTTAGAACTACCCCAATCATATTAATTCATGTCAAACATTCAGAGATGACATTTATCCCCATATTTAACAAATGTCAAAACAATATTTTGACAACAAAGTCAGGGTCATTCAACACATACATTGCATAGGAAATAACTTGTTCGACAATGCAGAGAGATCCTCACCGAGGTGAATATCATTCCATGAATTATTGCCAAATTTTCTTGAAATGCAGATTAATGCAATGCAGTATTTACTTTTATTTCTAGGCTATTTGTTTGGCTTTTCCATGGCACTGTTTTGACAGAGATCTAACCTTGATATGACACTTTGTTCAGAAATGATATAAATAAGAGTATACTTTATTATTCCCGAGAAAATTTGGGTTACATTGTAAAAGCACAGAGAAACAAGTATAAGATTCATGATTTAAGTTAAATACACTCGACCCATGAAGATTCCGGGGTAGAATAGGTCTTCAGCAACCCATGCTTGCCGTAATAGGCCATTATGCTTGTCGTAAATGGCAACTAACGGGATCGGGTGGTCAGGCTCGCTGACTTGGTTGATGCATGCCATTGATCCCAATTGCGTGGCTCGATGCTCGTGATATCAATCACTGGGTTGTCTGGTCCAGACTCGATTATTTACAGACCGCCGTCATATAGCTGGAATATTGCTGAGTGCGGCGTTAAACAACAAACCAACCTAAATACACTCATACATACACACAGAAACACAACATCCAAACAACAGGGTTAGAAATTGGCACTAGTCATTTTGACATTTTAAAGGTTTTGCTATATGCTATCATTTTAGGACTAGTGGACTGAAAGTGTTAGTTCCTACCGCTGCAAACACTAATCAACTAATGAATTGGGTGGTCAGACTAGGTCGTCATCATACTCTGGGGGCATGGAACTTTGCTGATAATAACAATCACTAGATTGCCTGGTCCATGTTCAATTATTTACAGGCTGCCATCACAGAGCTGGACTATTGTGAGTGTGATGTTTCACATTGCATTGAAATATACCATGATGAATACATGTAGTTTGTATTTATCACAAACAAAAATACTCACTCAATACTTGGTATCCTCCCTGAGGATGTCTGTGAACCTCCCCACAAACCCTGAACATGCTGAAACAGAAAACAACTAACTTGTCTTTATCCTTTCAATGTTTCAGTGTGAATTTGTTAAAGATTGATAAGCTGTCATTATTCATTGTGATCCATATCTCACTTTCAGGCGGTTCAGGTGGCAACACATGATTGGAATTGAATGCCACATTTTGTTTGACATGCACTTTGCCAGATTTATACCCTTGGTAACTAACCCTCATCATCAAATCCCAGCGTTATGAGAATAAGGACACGACCCTTAAAAGTCCTGCACCTGTAGCTCTTATGCAAGCCCAAATAGAAATACCATGTCACAACAAACACTTGATCATAATAATAACAAAGGGTTTCCGAAAACAACAAAACTAAAAGGCCCTAGTCGTTTACAGTAGTAACATGGAGATCAGGAAAATATCTAAATCAATCCATTCCATAAGATCTCTGTATAAAAATCATGGAACATTATGTCTCGAAGCCCTGCTACGTACCTGGCATCTGCAAGCTGCTCTTCCTTCCTTCGGCTGCCAATCGAGTTTTCGAAATACTTGACGTCCTCGTTGTGGATGGCTCAGGTGGATTTCGACCGGGATTTCCGTGTTAGAGGTGATTGAGAACAATGTTTCGATACACGAGGTAAGCATATCGCAATCAAGCATCACGGTGTGCATCGATTACACGAGGTTTAAGTGTTTGTTTACATTTGTGTTCCAAAATGGCGCCCTCGGTCATACAGGGAAAATTATGGGTAGACTTGCTTGTCCCGGAATAACACGAGTTGGTCACGAATGACGAGCGGTCATTTCTGCAGCAGTTACGGAAAGAGACGAGGTTGGCCGATTACAGTTCATACAGGCCATATTGGGAGCCGCGGGGATTTCGACAGTGTGTATTAGGAAGTATATCTATGTGGTGTATGGAATATGCGTTTGCCTACCATGCCAGGCAGTGTGACGGGATATCCCAGCGGATGTAATATTCCTACAGCAGAAATGTTTCACAACCTCGATTGCAGGGAGCTGAAGACGTGACATATTCAGACAGAGACCATAATACATAGACTGTTATATGGTCTCTGATTCAGGTAAGGAATATGTTAATAATATTGATCACGTATTAAAGTTATTTATCTTCTGTAAGCCACTTATTCAGTTTTATATATGTTAGTAAATGTGTGATTTAATTTTTGTAGGATAAGCAATCTACCTAACTTATGTTAATCCTTGCTAATGTATATGATGTAGAAATATGTTTGCTTACTTATATTTCTTTATCTAGATACTCTAAAGTGACTCATTTTTTTAGTTCATACTGTACCGACTAAACTTACTTTTGCAGGTGTGAAGAATCAAGAACAAATTAAATGACAGGAGTTTTGCAACAGTGAACCTTGTGAAGTGGAAGATAAGACATTTGAAAGGTATGGATATTTTCACTTGAACTTGTTGAAGAATACCGTGATGACAACTTTATCATGTTGGGAATTTTGGCGGTGGGGTAGCCTAGTGGTTGAAGTGCTGAAGACCAAGGTTCGATTCTTGTCATGGGTACAATGTGTGAAGTCTATGTCAGGTGTCCCTTGCTGTGGTATTGCTAAAAACAGCGTAAAACCCTCCCCATTCATGTGGGGATTCCGGGTTGGAATTGGTCCCCATCAACCTATGCTAGTTGTAAGAGAGGGTTATACTATAAAGGGAAATAGCACCTCGCCTACTATTGCCTGGTGAAAACAGCACCTTGTTATTTTTTTTACCTCGGGTCTGAATATGCCCGAATACATGAAATTAAACTTGCATGGTCACTTGTAAACACAAATAACTGAGAAATGTTCAAAAAGGTTTTTCATTAAAAACTAGCATCTACTCGCCGACTCTGATTTGGAGATGCAACTAAACTTATTGTGAAAATATAATATGCTTTGATTTCTTTGAAGTAAAATAAATGCAATTAAACTTGCAAACACAAATAATTGTTAGATGTTAATCACCTAAAAATAGTTTACATTAGAAATTAGCCTCTGCTCAAATTTACTCATGATTCTGATTGGGAGGTGCAACTAAACTTATCATTGAAAGATCACATGCTTTGAAGTCTTAAGTAGCTTTACTCAGATTAGCTCAATGTCAAGCTGAAACTGAGTCTGGCGAAAATTACAAGAAACTGGACAACAGGTATACTATATATGTCATATTTATTTTAGTAAGTAGGAAATAAATAGTAATTTTATAGAAATTTCATTGATATATCTTTCGGCCAGGAATCAACATGTCTCTCCAGATAACAGACAACAATTAGTAGCCCATTTTGCCAAAACAAGGTGCTGTTTTCGTCCGAGAAATCAGTGACATTTTGCTGAGGTGCTGTTTTAGCCTCACCCATAAGAGATAACCTAATAGATCAGGTGATCAGGCTCGGTGACCTGGTTCATGGCATCTTACAGTGACCATCTAACAGTGTGGATTGATGTTCACAATATCAATCACTGGATTGTCTAGAATTTTGGGCCTACCTTTAGAATACAGTACCTAACTTTTCAAACAGGTCACAGTACCCTGTGGTGTAATTCGTAGTATTCTGTTGCCTGACACACTGGCAAAACAATGCCTTGTGATGTCAGGGGTCATTGGATGTGCATATATATGCTCTTTTCAGTGGTCTATCGTCTCCACACGCTATGTTGTTGCATAAGTTTTAATTATTTGGTTACTAAATATTGTTTTAAACATTTTTATTTCACAACTTGTGAACTGGATGGGTAAACAAGCAAAAACTTATTTGAATACCGCTCCAGAATTAGAATACAATATATGACAAAAGTACAGTCAATGAATACAATTATATACATGTTCTTATTATAGAAACTACGTTGTCGGCGCTGTCAGGTCGCATTTTTAGTAGTAATAGTGTACTGCAATATACGGCAAGGAATAGTATTATAAATTTAAGATGCTATGTAAAATCACAATACCTATTGGATAGCTGAATGTAGTCTTGTACTGATTTAAGAATTTCTAAGTTTATTTTTGACGTCCTTTCAGGATTACCTAATAGAATTGAATTTAGATCATATCCCTTAACATAATAGTACATATTCTGTCTTAAATCATTGTAATTTGGGCATATGAGAAAGAAGTGAAGTGCATCTTCAGTGTGATGGCCACAGCTACATGCAGGATTATGTTATAAATATTTTATAACAAGTGCTTGTTTATTTTCTATATGCTTTTATTTCATTTTTTACTTATTACAGTGGTTAAAATGATTATAAATATAAATTGAAACTTATAATGTGCAATAAGCGGGTTATAGCTGAAACGACACCTTAGCAAAACGGCACTGACTGGCGAAATATTATTACTTGACGAAAATGATACCTTATTTTTTTTTTACCTTGGTAAAATAAATGAAATTAAACTTGGATTGATAAATTGCAAAGACCAATAATTGTGAAATGTTAAAACAAGTTTACATTAGAAATTAGCCTCTACTCCAACTTATCCTATACCCGACTCAATTTATTGTGATAACATGCTTTGAAGTAAAATATATGGAATTAAACAAACACAAATACATGTAGTTGTTAAACGTTGAAACAAGTTTACCTTCGAAATTAGTCCCCTACTCCAATTTACTCACCGACTCTGATTGGCAGACACAGCTCACTTGTTGTGAATGTATTTTTCACTTTAAAGTTTAAAGTACTTAATGTCAAGCTGAAACTGTATTTAAGAATCCTAACATGGTGCTGTCAGATTACAATTTTTCACAATGGCCTTTCGATGTGTCATTTGAACATGTTGAAAGGTTTTACAAGGGATATTTGTCAGTAATAACTGATGCTATTTCTGCCCTTACATTACAACAAATAAATCAGCCAATATGGAACTATTTTATTGATATGTGGCAACAAACATACTTCAGGCTGTACAGTTTACAAATTGTTTAATATCTATGTCATCTTGTTCCTCCTTATGTCTGGGCAGTTGCTCGCTACAATTTCGGAACTTCTTTACAGTTACAGACAGAAAATACCAGAACCGTTAACTACTACAAATCAAATACTGTATGGGTTTCATTGAAAGTGTCGCCACAACTGAAAATCTTCAAATACCTGTATTTGGCTATAACTTTGACTATTTTTTTTCTGTTCCTGCCTATTATCTATTCCTGCCTCAGGTAAGGATGCAGTGACTTATTTAAGTGCACACATATATCACAGATAAACTCCTGAAGTCTATGAAAGTTATTTACAAGTTATACACATAAGGACTTAAAGGTGGAGAATGTATTGATGTCAACTTCTTTATTATGATGATCACAACATTTCGGAGTATGTACTTACTCCTTCATTAGGTGAATATTCACAATTCTGCTCCAAATGCTTAGATCAATGCTCATATTGTCAACCATATTTGCCATTTTTATATCATATTCATGTGTATAATACATTTTATTTCTAATAATGGCGTAATTGAGACACACAAATATAAAGTAACCCAATACTTTCCGTAACGGGCGACAATGCTTGTCTAAAGAGTTGACTTACACCATCAGGTGGCGATCAGGCTCGGTGACTTGGTTGATGCATGTCATTGATCCCAATTGTGTCGGTCGATGCTCATGATGTCAATCACTGACTGTCTGGTCCAGACTCGATTATTTACATATTATGATATAGCCGGAATATTGCTTGAGTGCGGCATAAAACAACAAACCAAATCATAAGTGCGGGATGAGTGATTTGAAATTAGCAAGTTTTATGTGACCTTCAATCACTACAACCTGATCTGAGTCTTGAAAAGATATGTTTTTGATTCAGTGAAAATTTGCATCATGAGAGTTTCAACTGTAGATACAGTTAATCTGTTTTTTGTACAGTTTCTGTTTATTCAATGTATATGTTGTTCAAATAAGCTTTGCCTCTTCACCAACCCTATTCCTCTTTTGGAATAAATAGTGTCTAATAATTCAAACACCATCACAACTAATCATCCTAGTAAACACAACAAAGAAATGCACATCAAAAACGTCATTATTATTATTTCTTATCTCTGATAAATTAGAAAAAACTGTTATCCAGCAAGATACATTTCCTTGGTCCCAAGAAGCATGTTACATAGTAAACTGACTCGATAAGTTTAATAGCAGTCAGCGTGGTTGTAAAGGCAAACTAAGCCGTCACTACTCAATTAATTAATTAACAGACAATTGCAAGTACTAATACCCACCCGACACTAATTGCCCTGTTAATCCCTAGTCCACAATGAGTTGACATTGAGTTCATTTTGCTAATTAGCTGTTTTTAGAGTAGCAAGGTAATAAACATCAAAGGTGGGGCAGGCTTTGATCATGTGTTCTGTAGAAGAGACGATGTCACTTGTTTTATGTTTATTTAGGATTAGCTACATCCCTTGATGCTACCAAGGCAGCCCTTGAGATTATCAGACAGTTTGGCTAGACACAAACTGATGTCTCCCTTGTAGCACACTATGTGTCAGACACAGACTTTGACCACTCTGTGCAGATGCATATCAATGCATAAAGAACATTGGGTAGGTGATTCAACAATGCGACACAAGTCAAAGTTGGGTTTCACTGTATTTAGAAACAGATGATTGATCCAAAACTTTATAACAGTAATTATGATTAATTTAAACTTTGCCAGGCCAATATTTTGGCAGATTTGCATGTTATTGTTAATCTTCATTTAGTAAATTTTCATAAAAGATATGATAAAATATGATAATGAGTCATGAATATTTGAATTCAGATCAGAACAAACAGGGAGGGTCACCCAAAAATGTGAGAGTCTCTAGGGGAGGCTTTTGACAAAATGGACTTTGCATTTTCTTTCAGGGAGGGTTGTGTCAAAAATGAATGAGAACATACCGGTAATACATGACCGGCCCCTTTAATGTAATATACATAGTTTTTAGTTGATGGTTCAGGTTGTACTTTTCAGTTGAATTTCTTACCACTGTCTATGATGGATTACCAATTAACGGTAGATATTAAATATCCATAATAACTTAGATAAATGCTTCTACAGTCTCATCCTAATTTGTCAAAATTTGAGTTTCAATATAGCTTCCATTAATGAATTAATGAATTTGGTGAGAATATCTATTGTCTGAATTCCTAATATACTTTCTTTTGTATTTGGTGTGCAAGGGTAGCCTAGTGGGTGAAACAGTCTCTGAAACCCGGGTTCAATTCACCACATGGGTACAATGTGTGAAGCCCATAGCTGGAATATTGCTAACAAGCTGCATGAAACTATACCAACTCACTCGTTCATTATGTTGTATTTTGAGATCACTTACATGACATGTGTTTTGATAATTATGAATAGTTGCATTTATGTATAAGAACCTATGTAACTTAGTATTGCATAGTCTTGTTTACCCTTCCTTACATTTTGATGTAATGCAAACATTCAAGCAAAATTTAGGTGAACCTTGTGGTATTGTTTTAGAAGACCGGATACATTTTTGTATTTTCTGAACACTTTTCTGTTTGCAATGGCTTATTTACATGTTCAAAGATTGGTTAAATATCAGTTGCAAGATAAATTGTCAATACCTCACTGTTCGAGAAAACAACTTTAAACATTTGTAAATATGTGTGTGTTTCATAACTTTTGACTAACAAGTTTCTAAAGATGTTGTGAAATGTTTCAGGTACCTGGATTTCACAATCTGACACCAGCTACATTTAAGAAGATCTTGCTCACACAATTCAGACAAGGGACTCGCCGGATGATGAACAGTACTCCTGATAACAACCAACAGATTCACCTCAGAAAGTGATGATTCTGAATGAATAATGCCACATCAGTGTTACTGTAGGTGGTTTTATTATGACACTAATGAAGTCTGAATGAATTTATGCCAAAGCACTGTGACTATGTCCAGTTTGTGTACACCGATGCTGACTATACAAATCTGAATGACTTTTGTGGTTTACTGCAGAAACATAATTGACTTTAGATTTTCTTCTTCAATAAAATTCTTCTGAGATTTGACTAATTTGTTTATTTAGAAAATGGCATTGAAGCATCTGTTCTGTAAGGCCTTGCAAACACCACTGGAGTTCCTCTTCTTGCTTGATCAATTTTCAATTTGTGATATGTACCAATGAAATGCCATATAATCAATAAATAAGATTTTTTTCCAAAAACATGATTTGTTTTGCTTCATTAGCATAAAGACATATAATACTGATCAGCCATAACATAGGTGCTGAACAAATATAAAATGTACTAATGCCCTGAATGTTTTCCTACTATAAATACAGCTCACTTAACAAAAGTTGTAGTTCCACCTTAGTAGACAAATGACATTGATATTTTTTCTGTATTTTATTTAGGTGTTTTCTATGTATGCCATTAGTCTTATGCACCAATTTGGGACAATTGTATTCTGTTTTATATTCCCATGAAACTACACTGTCCCGATATAACAAGTACTGATACCGTTCCAAACTAATCTGTTAATCTCACCAGGGCCAAATGCCAAAGCACATAGCCAATGACTTTCCATTTTTTTCTGAGTGAGAATGCTGTTTTGCCACTTTTAGCAATATTGCAACAATATCATGGTGGGGGACACCAGCAATAAGCTTCACACATTGGACCCATGTCGCGAAACAACTTGTGAACAATGCATGCCCACATATCTCAGTTTGAGGAGGATATTTACAACTAAAATAACACAGAATATTACAACAGGTACCTGTAATGCACAGGCTAACATTATTTACCAGAAGCAAGTCATGAAGAAAATTTGCATCCGGATACCTTCCGGAAACCTTCCGGAAACCTTCCAGATGCCTTCAACAACCTTCAAATTGCTTGGTATTTTCAAGTTAATTTTTTTATGTGTTTCACACTTAAGTGAACAAAATGCACCCCCCAAATTTTGACATTTTTTTTGGAAGGTTTCCGGAAGGTATCCGGGCCGGATCCAAAATGGGTAGGTATCCGGAAGGTTTCCGGAAGACGGAAACCTACACTTTTTTTGCTGTGCAAAGCTTTGTCCGGCCTCAATACGACCAATGGCGATATTTCGATCTGCAGCACTCAACCGTGGCATATTCGACCTTGTCTTTGGGTGAAAATGATAGAGTAAATCGCTAATCAACACCTGCTTTTATAAACCCATACTTCTACTGCTCTTTCCATGAATTGCACGTGCATGAGGCTTTTGGCATGGGCCACGTGAAGATTTTGCTCACTATGATAAAAGTAACAAAAAAATGCCCTTGTGCACGAAAATTGGTGTGTTTGGGCACTTACGTTAATAAACAGTGTACATGGTATAAGTGCATATCAGAAAAATTGTATTTACAATCAATATTTTTCTTCTGAGGGTTTTCTCACATTTTCAGACTGGGGTTGCGTTTCTTTTTCGAGAGAGTGTATTAAACATAGAGAAAGAGGTATGGAGATTGTGGACATTATTTTTTAGCATAGGAATTGTTAACATAGTTCTTAAAGATATTATGTTTTGTTTGTTTGTTGTTTAATGCCGCACTCAGCAACTTAAGGATATTACAACATACATACATTTAGGTTCATTTGTTTTTTTAAATTTGTATTATTTTGCAAATGTTACAGAAACCTGATAAGTGATATAATAATGTATATTCGCTATTCTTAAAAGTAAGAATATGTTAGATTTATCAACCAGAAATATTGCGCACCAAAGGATAATCATATTTCATGACACTATTCTACGTCGCAGTCAACGATATTTGTGTATGCCATTGCTACATGATTGGTTATGACACGGATACGTCATGATAAAGCAATGAAAAATTGACATTTGATGATATAAGATAGCTAAAGATAAATTGCAAAGAACAAAGAAGGAAGTGATATTTATTTCATGATAAAACATTGTTCTATCATGACGTCATTTGTGGAGATTCGAGCATGCACTCGCAACTTGAAAACGTTGTAAATTTGACCTTCTTTTTTAGAGTTATGTGTCTAGTATGTTGTTCCCAATAGATGTAGCTGGGGAAGGTAGATAAACGCAGTGCCCGAACAATCGCATCCGAAAGTGAGAGCGAAATGACAATCGGTATTGGGAGAAAAGGTACAGATAATCGACGAGACAATTGTGAGAATATGCGGGAGAGACCAAATTCAAACCTGCCTATTCATGAAATGGATTTATCTGGCATGGCCGCGGTCGGATTCTATTCAAGGAGTCATCATTATTTAAGTCAGGTAAATATTTTAAAGCGAGTACTTTTTCCTAATATAACACCCTTAAAGAGGCTGTATATAATGTTGATATCTCATATAGAAATAAACGAGTCGTGGTCGTTGTTTATCGTACAATTGCATGACCATATACACTAACATTATATCTTTTCATGTTTATCAGTCAAAAAAAGCGGCATAAGCATTTTCATTACCATAAGAAACCCTTGCCAAAAGTAGCGCCAACTGCACGATTACGACAACAGCAGGAGCTTCATGGTTCGCCATAAAACATGATGACACTGGGTGCTCGCAAAAACGCGAGCTCCTTCCGACCCACTAGTAGCACCCGCAAAGGCAAGCCAATTGTTCAGGCCAGAGAATTCGTCAGACATCATTTTGGTCATTGATACGTCAAACCTGGAAATGTCGTCTACACGTCCAACACAAAGACCAAGCCAGGACCTAAATCCTTTAAAGCCACCCAAAGTTCTGTCAATTACATAGATTTTCCCCTAACCTTAAGTAATGAATACTAGTTCTGAATTTGCAATTACCCGTATGAATCGTCTTATGTCATTTATTGTCGATAAACAGAATATGCACATTTTCTGAAAGTAATGTGTGAAAAACGCACCAAACCTATACATGCTGCGCTTGCTTAAAAACACCATTGGGTTAACAAGATACGTATATTAAAGTGCCATGCTTTCCTGATGTGCTATCATTGAAATAATGACATAAATAGTTACCACTCATCTTTCAATATTTTTCAAGGTTGGGTTCATCACAAACATATTTGAATATTTGAATACAACACCTATACTTACTTATCTTTATACTTAAAGCTTCAGGTGTGTCTGTCATACAGACCCTGGAACAAATCTGTTCAATACAGCCCAATATTTGGCAAAATGAAGAAAGTCTCTTGGCTCCTTTTTATTATATTTTATAGCTATTGTTTAACAACTGTTTTTTTCTGTGAAATATGTTCATTTCAGAGATTAGATGTTATTCTAGCATCAGGTCTGTGGTACGTCCACTGTATCAGCGTTGACATTAAAACGATATTTACATATATAAATACATACAGGGGAAATGTTTAGCATATACCTTTTGAGGAAGAGTGCAGGACGTCTTGCTTTATACATATATATGTGGACATATATGTATAGATATTTGGATGAATAAAGATAAAGCTCCTTATAGATAGTGATCGTAGATGACTGTAGAACGTGCATGAAGAAAATGGAATAATTATGTGAATAATCATCGGGTTAATACCACGTTTAGCAATATTCAGCCATATTGCGAAATTGGTTTCCAACACACAAGACGGACCATGAAATTATGACTTGAATTTGGACCTTGGCATATTTGGAATTTGGACCCCATAATCTCCTGTAGAAAAAGAGCTTAAAGACGAATAAAGGTCACGAGATGATACTGATGTATACATCTGGACATATGTTTGCGTATTATTAGTATTAATTCATCAGTATATATGTATTTTGCGCAAAAGGATATTGCAGGATCGACGCTGACATGCGCATATAACTTATTCACCAGTGCTGTAATATTCAATTCATTTGTCTTTTGACACATGTCGATAGGAACATGGAGTGTCTGTCTGAAGATATATAGACATGGATGGGATCTTTTGGATAGTTGTACTTCACGGCCAGACTAACGCTTAGTCTCTGAAAATATACTATTTTAATTAAAACGAGAAAAAATATTTAAATTTGAAAGGAGCCCCAGTGGGATGGAAATTCTGCATGAACCTGTTGAACATCTAGTTAAATTCCATCTTGATGATGGAGAAAAATCAGATGGTGTAACAGATTGTAAAATGGTAGGAAAATGGTCACTTCCACTGAGGTCATCGTGGACTGACCATTCAAATTCATTAAGTGAATTTGACTCTTCAACTTACAAGTCCAGACAAGAGTAAGTGCCAGTTGTAGGGTCTAAATACGTGGAAGAACCATCATTATTTGGTGAAAAAATCCTCAAGTAATTTTCCTTTAGAATTGGTGTCACTACTACCCCAAATTGGGTTATGACCACTCAGATCTCCCATGATGAAACAGTGCTTAGAGAGTTCATCATATAGTGCCTGAAGATTAGACTGTCGGAGAGAGTACGATGGTGGTACATCCAAAGAACACAAACAATATCTAATGTTACACGTACTGCAAAAGCCTGAAGAGGGGTATTGAGAGGAACAGTTCTGTGAAGGACGCCCTGCCTCACCATAATAGAGGATCCTCCAGTTGCTTTATCACGCGGAGGGGAAAAGCAATGGTAAGAATTGACTATCTTAAATCAATGTTTTCAGTAGTTTTGAGGAAGGTTTCTTTAAAACAAAATGCTGATAGTTTAAAATCTTAAAAAAGAGCTGAATGTCATTTTAAATTGATCCAAAGTCCTCTACAATTTCATTGTATTTAATTGGGAGAGCATTTCACGGGGGCTAAATTGGAGATCGTTAGCGTGGAGAAGGTCCTCTACTCTGTAATGGCTGCAATTGAATGACCTCGGTATCATGAGGGCCACAGGGGTAGTAACAACTTTGACAGACGAGGTAACTTCAGAAAAGGTGGTAGTGGTTGGTTTACTTTTAAACAGTGTCTTAGCTTCTGAAAATGAGATGATTTGTATATTTGATTTTCAGGATTAATGTCTGTGTATAACAAAAGAGGGACATGTGGTCAACGCTGGAGTTTGCACATTTGATTTTACCTGTGCAGTCAGTGCCAT